TAGAGATAGATCATGTAGAATGTTAGGGCTCTCTCAAAGCATATACGTTAATAAAAAATAAAATGGTTTAGTATAGAAGAATCAAAGAAAGGACTTCTTCTAATGTCACATGGGATAAAAATCTCTAAGGCTGAGAGTCTTAAAATATAAAGCAAAAGAGAAAAGATGAATCATATTCCCTATGCATCAGCCATATGATCTATCATGTATGCCTTGCTATGTACGCGACTTGATGTCTTATATGTTTTAAGCATATGTAGTAGATATCAAGTTGACCCGAGTGAAAAATACTAGATTGCTATAAAGAGCATTCTTAAGTACTTCGGAAGACATGTTTTCTTGGTCCGTGAAGGATATGAACTAGTTATGAAATGTTTCACGGATGCTAGTTTTCAAACGAGTTCATGATGACGTTAAGGCACAATAAGGATTAATTTTTTTATTGAATGGTAGTATTGTTAGCTGGAAAAGTTTCAAGTAAGAAAAAACAGTCGATTTAAAAATCAAGGCTAAATACATTATAGTCGCTGAAGCAACTAAGAAAGCTATATGGATTCACAAATTTCCATTTGGACTACAAGTTGTACTAAGTATTGCTAATCCTATGGTACTATACTATGATAACAACGGAACCATAACATAAGTTAAGGATTTATGGTTTCATCTATTAGTTTAGGTTCTTAAGATCCAACCATGCTTGGATAGGTATGAGTTATTATATTATTACATCATTTATTTTATTAATAATAAAAAAAATTTCTATTAATTCTTATTTTTTATGTTTATTAATTCAATAGAATTAGATAAAAAAATCTTATGATATGTATTTGCAATAGTAATTGATCAAAAGTTATGAGACAAACACTAATATGCATAAATAATAGCATAAAAAGTCTCAAGTCATAGCATTATCAAGAATGGACCTTAACTTGATGTGGTTAGACTTGAGAGTGTTATGCTCATACTATATGATAGTAGTAGGAGATCTCACACCTATTGGCATGGTGATGCCAAAGTAAGCACTTAGGTGATTTATATTAAAGAATATATCACTCGGACTTGACTCACCATGAGAACCCATTTGGTTGTCTATGGGAATCTCATACGAGATAGGTACAACTAGTCCTTAGAATTGAAGTCATCATGGTTATCTCATTGGAGGATTTGTTTACTTTGATGCTCATTTTGATGGACCTAGTAAAGGGTTGCACGTAGGTGATTCATTAGGTGCACTAGGAATCTAATGAAGGTAGGTGGTTGACTAAGATAGGACATGTCATTCCTTGTATGCTAAAAGAGTTATCATATTACATTTCAACGAATGTCTACTCAAGAAATCTATGGCTATAGTAGGAGTACACCAATAGAGCATAGTTAGTTTACTCTAAGAGCTAAGATATTTAAGAATTGAAGAAAACTTGTATGATCATAATTGAACAAGATAAATAACTAAGTTTGAGATCACACTATGATAAGTTGTCATGAAGAATGAATTGCATGGTAACCATACTTGTGAAAGGTTATTACAAATTAATTAATCCTCCTAGAGAATTGATAGTCATGATATCTTGCGAGAGGTCAATCTTGATGTATATATCAAAAGATAAAAGAGGTGGCTTATATTCTTGATATATTGTCAATACATCTAGGAGCTTACCGAGTCACACATATAAGTTTAAGCATTCACATGATTAGGGAGAAGTAAAGAGGTCGGAAAAAATTTTCAATTATGAAAGTTTTCAATTTTGGAAAACGTTTTCAAAAATGAAAAGTTTCTTATTTTATAAATTAGTTTCCTAATTTGAAAGTTAATTCCAAATTTAGAAGTAAACAACTTAAAATCGAAATTAGTTTTCTAATTTAGGTTTAAGGATATTTTTGAAAATTGTTTCCCAATGTAGGCCACCTAAAATTATCTAATTTAGTTTATTTAGATTATCTAAATTAATTAATTGAGCCAAAATGGTTTTAGGCCAATAAGTTTAATTAAAAGCCTAAAAGATAGTTTGGTGGGAGGATAAACATGAACCTTATTAGACAAGGATGAATGTTTTGAAGATAAAGATCAAAAAGTCCACATATTAAATAACTCCCGATCTTTGTTGGATTAGAAAGCAACAACCAAGAGTCCAATTAGGACTAGTTGTCGTCCCCTCCTTGTCCTTGAAGAATAAGAAAACTCTCCTCCTATAAATAAGAGGAGAGGTGTGGCAATAAATATGATTTTTTTGGGGAGAGAAAATTTGACACAAATAAAATTAAAAAGGGCACACGACTTAAAATAAAAAGGAGAAAATTATTTTCTCCCTAGCCACTAGCATGCCACTTTTCTTCTATCTCTATTAGGTTTTTACAAAATTACCTTGATTAGATTTCTATTTGGAAATACTAAACTAGTCGGAAAAAGGTGGAGCTACCACTCTACTAATTTTAAGTGCTTCTTTTATGGATGCTTGGACTACATAGATTATCGATAGAGACCAAATGGTTGGACGACTATTTTTTGTAATAGTTTAAATCTGTGTCTGCCGGAGGTAATTTTATATTTATCAATTTAATTTATGAATATATAATTAGTTGGTTTAACAAGCATGATCTTGGGCCCTTTAGATGGAGAAAATTTTTGTTATGTTCCGCACCTATATAGGATGCATGATCCTTTATCATTAACGATCCGAGCATGTATTGTGATGCTACCACTCGATTAGAAAGATTACCGGTTATGGTGATATAATGATAGAAAAGGTCTACATTGATGATAAGATATCACATCTCTTAACTAAGCTTTTATCATAATAGAACATGAAACCTTTGTTCAATTGTAAAACATTTGGGATAGTTGGTTGGCTCTAATGCAAGTGAGAGATTGTTAGTGTAGGTGCCCAAGATCCAACTCGTTTGAATAGTTTGATATATTGTGTTATTGTATTTTATTATTAATAAAAGAAGTCTTTCTATTAATTTTACTTATTTATAATTTGATGTAATTAGATAAAAGTCTATATGATATGCATTACATTAATGATTGATCAATAGATGTAAGATAAACATCAATGCATATAAATGATATTATTAAATATCCCAAGTCACATTTTTGTCAAGCTTGGATATTGATAATGTGCGATAAGACGTGTGAGTGCTATGCTCTTGTAATAAGATAGTAGTAGGAGATCTCACACCTATTAGCATGGTGATGCCAAAACAAGCGCATAGGTGAATAATATTAGAGAACATATTGCTGGATATGACTCATCATGAGAACCCATTTGGTTTACTCGTAAGAATCTTATATGAGACAGTACAAGTAATCATTTGACTTAAAGTTGTCACGATTATCTCATTAAAGGATTAAGTAATTTGACATTCATTTTGCTGCCCTTAGTAAAGAGCTGAATATGAACGATTCATTAGGTACATATGGAATCTAATAGAGATAGGTAGATAATTGAGATAGGACATGTCATTCCTTATATGCTAAAGGAGTTATCACATCGTACTTTGATTATTTTTCACTCAAGAATCCGTGACCACAATAGAAGTATACCAATAGAGCATGATTGGTTTCTTGAGAGTTAAGACATTTAGGATCGAAGAAAGCTTATGTGATCATAATTGAACGAGATAGTAAATTAAGTTAGACATCACATTATAATAAATTGACATAAGGACTCGAATTGCATGAAAACCATACTCGTGAAAGGTAATTATGAATAAAGTGATCCTTCTAGAGAATTGAGTAGTAATGATGCCAAGCTAGAGGTCAATTATAATTTATATTTCCGAGAGATAAAAGAAGTGTTTTTTACTTTTCGATATATTGCCAACATATTTAGGAGCCTATTGAGTCACGTGCATAAGTTTAAACATTTACATGGAAAAAGAGAAGCGAAGATTTTAGAAAATTTTTTCTATTTTGGAAATCAGTTTCTTGTTTTAGAAATCAGCTTCCTAATTTATAAGCCGATTACCTAAATTTGAAATTAGTTTCCTATTTTGGAAATTAGTTTATGAAAATGGAAATAAGTTTTCTAATTTAGGTTTAATGAAATACAAGGGTAAGTTAAGAAATGATTTCATAATGTAAGCCTTCCTAAAAATATGTAATCTAACTTATTTGGATGGTCCAAATATATTATTGAGTTATTAAGCCAAAAGAGTTTAAGCTAACATGCTTAAATACAAGTCTAGAAGGTATTTTAAGTGAAAGAATAATCTTGAGAGCTATAAAATAAAGCTCGTGGTTTATGAGGATAAGATCAAACAAATTCCACATAGGCTACAACTTCTTGACCTAGAAGGAGTTATTTCTATACCATTATATATAGAGAGGGGAGAGAGAGACACATAAGAGAATTAACAAGAGAAGAAGTGTGTCTCTCCCAAAAATAATCAAACCTATCACCCCTTATCTCTTAGTGTATGTTATGCAATCCTTGAGAGATTTCTTAAGAGAAAATAATACTTAGTAGAAAAATTAGAGCTAGCGAGCCTAAGACTTCTATCGCTTCTTGTATGAGTGTTTAGCTATACTTAGTAGATAGTTCTTTTTGCAAATTAGATTTTATACTACAAGAGGTAACATTTAATCATCTAGTTATTAATATAGTTAGTTGGTTCAATAGCTAATCTTAGGGCTTTACATGAAGAAGAATAAATTTTTTTATTTATTTTGCACCTCTATAGGATGCATGATCCTTCATATATAGTGTGCCAAGCATATCTCCAATCAGCTTGTAGCTTTTCAACATCAATTATGGATGATGATCTTGTTGATGCCATTTTACTTGGTCTTAGGTCCGCCTATAGACCTTTCAGCCATAACATTTAAGCCTCGATTTTAATCAATAAACTCGATGATTTGTTAGGTTTACTATTGAGTAAGAAAATGCAATTAAAGAGAGAGAGAGAGAGAGAGAGCGATAGAGATAGAGGTCTCCTTTATTTAAAATTCTACCTACCGCTCACTATACTGAATGATAACACTTCAATCCTTATGAAAGAGGACGCTAGAGGGGTCACGGTTGGTCCTTCAACAACCTCTCATCCCGTTGTTCAACTAGTTAGCCGTGGCAATTGTCTCCACTCGTTAGCACAACACTATTCTCGCTATAATTACTATAAGGTTAAACATCTCAATTTTGCTTGTCCCTCTCCTAAATACATAACCGATACTCATCCCTCTTTATTGCCCACTTCTACATATCATCTTGCCTCAACCTAAACAAGCCCAAAATGGATCCACGACAGTGAAGCCACACACCATCTAATGGCTAATCTTGATAATTTAGCCCTTCTTTCGAATACTTGGGCCTCGAGGAGGCTAAAATCGGTAATGGTAATACACTTCCTATTTCTCATATTGGTTCTTCTTCTTTATCTCTCGCAAAATCATTCTTATATTTTTGTTCATATTCTTCATTTTTTTAATTCCCGTCGGCATTTGTTGTTTCTATCTACTTTTAGTTGATCTAATCATGTCCGTTTGGAAATTTTTCCTATTTTTTAGTAAAGGATATCTCGCATGAAGAAAATCCTCTATAAAGGATCTCTCGAACATTACCTTTTACACCATGCCAATTGAATCTTCTTCATCACTCCATCCTATTCAAGCACATTCTTACGATCTACTCGTATGGCATGCTTATTTAGGCCATGCTTCACTACGTACGGTAGTGAAAGTTTTGATTCAATCTAGTATTTATGTTCCAAATAAAAACATAATACTTTATGTCATGCTTGCTACATTAGCAAAGCACATAAACTTCCCTTATCTACTTTAAATTCTAAGGCACAAACTCCTTTCAAAATTATATGTTCCGATTGGGAACCTTTCCCAATCCCATTGTACAAGGTCACAACTATTACATTGTGTTTTATGATCATTATAGTATTTATGTCCCAAATAAAAACATAAATACTTTATGTCATTCTTGCTATATTAGCAAAACACATAAACTTTCCTTATCCGAATTACAAACTCCTTTTGAAATTATATGTTCCGATTGGGAATCTTTCCTAATTTCATTATACAAGGTCACAACTATTACATTGTTTTTTATGATGATTATAGTAAATATACTTTGATTTATTTTCTTAACTACAAATTAGAAGTTCTAAGTTGTTTTATCAAATTTTAGCATTTGACTGACAAATTCTTCAACAAACTAATCAAAACTTTTCAAGCTAATTAGGGGAGGTGACTTTCAAAGCCTAACATCTTACTTAGAGAAACCTTTTATATATGTAATCCGTTTAACATTATGCATCAAAGACACAAGTAAGTAGAAGTAAGACTAATTTTGCTTGAAAAGACGAATATCATCTACAAAAGAAAAAATCTTGTCACTATCCAACTTCACTACTACGATTGTTGAGATAAACAAATTACATGATACAATACACAAGTGATCAGGAAATTTTAAAATATTTTTAATATATAATTCGTTTAACATAATACACAAATTTAATATAAAGCACATGGAAACAGAAAAAGATGTTAAATAATAAATTGAGTTAATATTCCTTCCATCATTTTTTATTTTTTCGTATTCCATTAAATATAGGAGCTGCTTAAAATATCAAATAATAATTTGAATTAATATTCATATTATCGTTTACTTTCTTTTTATATTACATTGTGCCTTTAAATATATGTTTGTGGATCCCACATGGTGATTAAATGGGAGAATTAGTTTTATTTTTAAGATATGCTATTGTGTGTTTGGATATGGTTGCGTGCGAGATTATGTATCTTTGTATTTGTATGAGTGAGTTTGCTCATTATTTAATTCGTGCTTCTACTTACTTGTGTCTTTGCAAGAGGATTAACTGGTCATTCTGTGTTTACTCCTGTAAGTTATGTAAGTAACTTATTCAAGATGCAGCGATTAATAATTAATATGCAATTTTTCATGAAAAAAAAAGAAAAAAAAAGAAAAGAAGAATTAGTATGCATTATAGAGACATAATATATATATATATGAAATATTATTATTATTATTATTTTTGTTATATTTTTATGGTACACGATTACTGAGGGTTTTTTTTTTTTTTTTTTCAAGGGATTTGACATATATTTTCCAAGTATGGAAGATTCGTTGTCTTGTCTGACATCATATGGTGCTTTGTTTCTTCCAAGTTCACTTCTTTCATTATCAATATTATTTTTCTTTCCTCAACTCCGGATTCTCTGTATTGGCTCTGTTGAATTTTCTGTGCATCTGGACCTGTCTACGATGGTTGTGAATCGACAATTCTGGATTTGTTTTCATTGTGCTAAATACCACTTTTGACTCTCCATGCCTGTGGGCAGCACTGGATGGAAGATAAGTATGTGGTTTTACCCTTGTTGTGGCATTTGTAACTTTAACACATGCCCTCTGTCAGATACTAATATAAAACAATTTATCAAGTCTCTTTCACAAAATTTAAATTATGACAATTACCTTCAAGCTAAAAAAAGGAAAGAGACACAAAACTTGGAAGTAAAAAATTGCAACCGAGCATTAGTCAATAGTTTGGTAAGTATATCTGAATTTTATCAGGAAACAAATAGGTAGCACTACGATTATCACACTAGAGTGTAGATGAACCAATCAGAGAGAGCAAGTTCGCAAAGAAGATATTGAATTCAATGGAGTTTTGCAGCAGCATTTGTTAGAGCTTTTATATTCAAATTTAGTGGAGCAGCAAGCAACAATTTCAGTTTCCTGATTTTCCAAGATACAAGATTATGATTCAAAAAAAAAAAAAAAGAAAAAAAAAATAGCATAGCCACTAACAGACTTCCTATCAACAGTATACTCTAAGCATGAAGATGAAAGGGAGAATGATCGATGAGGATGAACTAGGAGAGGGGGAGACGAATGGTCAAGTTTTTTGCCACGAATGGTCAAATTTAGCTAGGGTTTTTTAGGGTTGAGAATATGTTTAAGAAGTTTCAAGTTTTGTTCCATCAATATGGCTTTTCAATCAATAACAATTCAATATGAGGCTAAATTGTTCTTGTCGGTGTTTACTGGATATAACAAATCCATCTTTGGAATTCCATCCACCAAAATACCTTCAATTAAATTGTCACGAGTCAAAATCCATCAGTTCTAACCTTGTCACGAGTTAGTTTTATATATATATATTCTTGATAGGATTCTATTGTTCAATTAATTGGTCTAATGGTTCAACTAACAATATAGTTGATTGGATCCATATAAATGAGAAATAAATAGCATTTGAACCTAACTACTAACATGGGATGTGGATCCATATTTTCAGGAAATTGACCATAAAAAATATAATCAATCAGTAGCTTCTTAAGTTCATTTTTAGTGCAATATTTGACTAATACTTAAGTAACTCATCTAATTAGTAAATTATGATACAGCTAACAATATAGTTGTGGTAATGCAATTGAGAATAAAATAGCATGTGAACCCAATTACTTCTAATTTGTAACATTTAAGATCACGAAATAACTAATGTCATGTCCGATTAAAACATAGATTATCAATTAGTGGCATTAAATATTAAGTTATTATTATTATTATTATTATTGCCTCAACAACTCGAGTTGATAAGTATAAAGTTAAATAATTGAAATTGAAAGTCATCCAAAAGATTTAAACCTTATGATAGATAACTCTTTCTTAACTTTATATACTACTCATTTTTTATTTAAATATTTAATGTAACTTTTTCTCTCACTTGAAGCCTTTTTTTAGAGTCCGTCAAGTGGTTTGTACTTTAAGATTCTAAATACTCATGATGAAACTGATTTCATAAAAGAACTTATACAACTATCTATATTTTTTCTTTTTAAATTCATAGATAAATTTCAATGATTGTATTGTTTCTTTAATTATATAGGATTAGCTTAGAGTTGGTCCAATGTGTTTTGCTCTCTATGCTACAAAGGGTTTTCTATATAAATTTAATATTCTTATTGTCGCTACCCAATATTTAAGATATTCCAAAAAATTACGGTTATTTGGTTTTGATTTTTATTGGTTATTTTGGGAATGTGAGTTAACCTAGGTTTTTGGAGTCGTCACATAGTATTACGTAAAACTAAAAAATCTAAAAAAGACACTAGATTCAAATATTTCAAATAAAGAGTTGGTTGTGTCTTTAGGAAGATGTCGCTTACCTAAAGACAACTTTTTCGAAAAAAGCTACCACATCTAGTTTATTTCTAAAAATATATCTCCCGAAAAATCTATTTTTACCAAGTTATTTTCTAAGTTTATTTCCAAGTTTGTCTATCGTCAATTTTTTATTTTTTATTTTTTACTTTTTATTATGGCATCATATTAAATTATTGTTAGGCCCAAATGACAAGAGTCTCGTTACTTAAACATCAAATCCAGTTAAAGTTTTGATATAACCGATTTGTCGAATAACACTCTAATTATTAAAACTGATTGGTTTGAATTAACTAATACCGAAAATAACTTTTGTCCTTATTAAATGTGAAACTATTAAATTAACTTAAAAAGCTCTTTTTTTTTTTTTTTTACCTTCCATTGTATTTATTATTACTTTATCGAGAATTTGATGAAAGATCGTCACCAATCTTTAGAATTTAGGAGGTTTACAATCCACCATCGCATTAATCACCTAGTAAAAATTATAAATATTAAATAATGATAGATTGAAGAGTCTCTCTATAACATAAAGGCACCTAGAGTCATTATATATATTACGCATGGAAGAACAATTATAATTTATATATGAATTTTAAAGATTAGATTAAGGAAAAGTAGGAGGGATATAAATCGTGTTGGTAAACCATCAAAATGTTTAGTTGGAAGTTCCAACAAATAACATGTTTTGAGACCGTTACAAAAACACATGCAACTAAAAATTGTTTTTTCACCCATTTGGCCGGCGTTCATTATGTTAATGGTTTTTTAAAAATTTTAAAATACTTTAAGAATAATTATTGTATACTTATAATTATTATTTTATTTGTCTAGTTTTGAGAAAAAAAGATAGACCAAACACATATATAACTAAAAGCAATATATATATATATATATATATATATATATTTTCCATCTAACCTAAAATTTCTCTCTTCTATTTTTCCTTCTTTTTTTTTCTTTATGTTTGTCTCTTCCTTAGAGCATCTCCAATGGTGCTCTCTAATTTTAGCTAGCATTTTTAATATAAATAGGGAGCATAATTAATTATATAGATTAAAGACTAATGTCATCTCCAATGCTACTCTCTACTTTAAGTCTTTATTTTGACAAAATCCATAAAACCCGGAGAGACTATTGATGAAGAGGCTAAGTGACATAGGAAATAGTAATTTTCATTAATGAAATATAAGATAAAGAGTCATTTGAACTCTCTAGTATTAGATAGCCAAAGACACTCGTATCTCAATTTTAAAGATAGAGATTGTGATAAAGAGAGCATTAGAGATGAAATTTGGGTCAAATCTCTTTATCATAAAGAAAAATATTAATATAATAAGAGCATTGGAGATGCTCTTATGAAATAAATATTGATAATTACTTTGTAAGCTTTTCTTTTCTTCTTGTATTTTTACAACAATTAATTTAGAGATCTCCAAACAAATGAGATAGTAATTATAGCCGTTCATTTGGTAGGAATGAGACAGTAATTATAGCCGTCCATTTGCTAGGGTTTTAGTCTATAAATTAATTTATAATTAATTTAGAGATCTCCGAACATTAATTTTATCTATGAAATATTGCATACTGCTGACTGTTCTCTAACTTTCTATCACCAACCTTAGAATTTTTCTTTTGATTTTCAAAACCAATTTGTTTGCAATAGATATACTTTGTGTTGATAACATGATTAAAAAACACACTCAAAGTGAATAACAAGAATTCGAATATAAAATTGCCAAATTAAATATCTATTATTTTCGAATCAAATCTTCTATATATTTATTATCCTCATCACGCCAATCTTTTCCATCCAAAAGAATACAAGTTTCATCATATAAAATGAGGACACGTACCCATATGACTAGGCATGGTTCTTCCAACCACATGCCAGAAATGCATAAATAGGTAAGAGTAAGCGTATGAAAAAAAAAAGAAAAAAAGAAAAAAAGAAACAACCAATAATTTTGATAGCTTAGCCAAAAAAAAGCTCACCAACTATCAAGTTGGTTCACTATTGCTAGAATAATGAAGCACCTCTTGAATCCCTTGGGCTCTAATGTATAGTCTGTTCTCACAGTGCTACGTTTAGGGCGGATCTATCAAGAGATCAAACTCAATCCGATCATAATAGATTATGTAATGCTCATGGCCTAACAAGGAGCCAAGAGTGTTATTGTATTGTCTCACATCCAAGAATGTAAGGTAATGCACTTTCACCTCTACCCTAAATCTTTATCATATTGTATAATGGAATTTCTTATTCAATTTAAAGTTGAAGGCTTCTTAAATTTGACATTTAGTGTTGACAATTTTTTTCGTAACTAAAATCAGTCATATTCGTCATAATAGGTTGACATCATCATCGGTACTTTAAGATCCCCATACTATGGATACCTAAGTGTTAGCTTTTCATATCCGTTTAGTGATCTTGTGAATGTGGTAATGGAAATTAAGCTTATGACATTTCCGAGTGAGATAGGATTTGGAAGAAAGCTAAGGCTTTGAAAGACATTTCCGAGTAAGATAAGATTTGGTCATGACATCTCCAAGACAAACTGCAATCTCATGTTAATTTTCCAAAAGCTCATGAACGGACCTTTAAGTAACAAGGGGAGCCTTTTTCTCTTTTTTCCGTGTCTCCAATATAGAATCAAACAATTTTCAACAATCCATAAGTACCCCTTAACGGATATCATAAAAAGAAGTCTAAATAATCGCCAACCTTACGTTTCTCAATAGGCAAAATGTTTGAGTGCTTGGTAAGCATTGGGTAGATCACCCCAATCCCTACTAACCTAATGTATCCTCTTTATCCTATATGGTACAAACAGAATGAGAGATGCAAATATCATTCTTGTGCTACTAGACATAATATTGATAATTGTTCTGCTTTCAAAAAGAGGATATGGCTTTGATTAAGAAAAGACATATCGGTTTTCATGATGGTCTACATACTCCTAATGTGAGAATGAATCCATTACCAAACCATACAATCATTAACATAGGGGATAGAAAGACTAAGTGAGCTTGACAATTGTAGTGAGGATGTGTGCTCAAGATTTACAAATGATATCTTTTAATTTTTATTAGATTTTGAACATTGGTTCCTAAAATATTTTGGTTATGCGTGGATTAAGTTACATCTTTCAATGAAAGAAGCACTTCTACTTTCTTTTGCAATTTCATATTATCCGATTTGAAATTAAAAGATTTTCTATTAAGAGTACTATTTGGCATTACATCTTCAAAGTCTCTACTACCCTTTCTTATGTCTCTACAAAGATAAAATAGATTTTTGATCCACTCTTTTTTTTTTTTTTGTTGGGTATTGTCCTTCCTATTTAGGAAATCACTATTTTGACAATAAAATGAATCATTTCTCTATCATATGTCATTTTTTTTTAATTGAAACCATTTTCCTTTTTACATAGTCAACAATCCCACATCCTAATTATTCTACCTCTCGCCATATCTCTCCCATAGGCTAGTTTAACCATTAGAAATTCTATTTCCTCTACTAACATTTTTAATACAAATCAACATCCCTCTATTCAACCTCTCGTGCTCCCATAGCCACACTTTAAGCATAATCACATGCGCAGCTCACACTTTACTTGGCAACAACCCACCAACACGCAACCCATTAACCCATAGCCCAAGTAGCTGGCACCACTTCACCCACCAATAATACACAACACTCTAAGACCAATTTTTGATACATGTAAACCATAATCCTTATAACCACAAGCA